GAGTGCCTGGTGCGGGTTCTTGGGTTCGACGGCACGGACGAGGGTAGAGACCGAAGCGTGTAGGCCAGACACGTTCGTGGTGCCTGCGGTGTCGGTGATGGGAACCTCCACCACGTCGTCGTTGTCATTTTCGTGGCCTGGTGAGGAGATGCTTGGCTCGGTTTGGCGGCGGGAAGGTCCTGATGCGGGCGCGTCGTCGCTATCGTCGTCGTCGTCATCGGTGTTGTTCAGGATCCGTCACTTTGAGAACTTACGACGAACTCATTTCTCAACTAAACGCAAATCCGCTCGGTAGGAAGTTGCGCCTTAGGCTTAGCTACCATCTCCAAGTTGAATCAATCGTTAAGATGGTCTATACAGTGAGAATCAAGTAAAAACGTCTAGCAGCCGCATGACTAGAATGGTGGAGGAAGTACAAACATTAGGGCATAGGAAGTTGGAGTTGGGGACTCCAAGAGAACCATGAGAGGGAAGGGGTTCTCCAAGAGCTAGGGAAGGATGGTAAGAACCTTCCTAGCAGCAAGGATGCAACCTTCATCATGAGGTCCTTCAGTTGTCACATGCAAAATCCAATCAAGTTGGATTTTTCCTAGGTGTTGCAACATTTGCAACCCATGCTAGAAACTTCTAGCCACCCCAATCCAAAAGTCAAAGTTGCCTTCCCTAACCACCCAACCAAAGATCCCTTTATATTCATGTCCCAAGTATGTCTGAATCACGAGGAATGATTGACTAAGGAATAAGTGTGATACAAATATGAAACCCTAGAATTGTGTACCCCTTAGTATCTAACCCGCGACAGCCTACACAGGCTAGATCATATAAGTCTGACACACCCCCATAGGCAAAGTGGGGGAGAACAAGGGGTCACAAGACCAGTCAAGCAAAGCAAAGCAAGCTCAGGGTGGATCACAACGTCACCACACATTCCGAGCACAAGTTCAAGGCCACAAGGCCAGTTCACATGCAAGATCATATATAAAGGTAAACAAGCAAGTGCAGGTGTAGAAAGATCACAGTACAAGCAAGGTCAAGAAGTGAGCAAGTGAGGCCAAGTAGGCACAAGACCTAGCATCCTACAGCAGCGCTGATGATCACAAGGCGGAAGTGCCTTGGTAAAGATATCAGCAGTGTTGGCCTGAGAGGCCACATAAGCAAGGCGCAGCTGACCACGCTGCTGCAGCTCACGAGCAAGGAAGTAGCGAAGAGCAATGTGCTTCGTTCTATGCTCCAGTCTGTGCTCCCGACACAAGGCCAGCATGGCCTTGTTGTCTACGTACAGAACTGGAGGAGAACGAGGCAGCTCTCCTAGGTCAGTCAGCAGGTAGGTGAGCCAGCGTAGCTCTTGTGCAGCCATGGCCCCCGCGTTGATCTCAGCCTCACAGCTGGAGCCGAGAACAGAAGACGAGCGGGTAGACCGCCACGAAACAGAGCCGGAACCAAGGCTGAAGGTGTAACCCTGTGACGACTGCTGCGTAGCCTGGTCGTCAGCCCAAGAAGCGTCTGCGTGACCTGTGAGGACCACTGTACGCCGCCCTCCAAGCACTAGCCCCATGCCCGACGTACTGCACAAGTAGCGCAACACCCTCTTCGCTGCAGCCATGTGCTCTGGTCGGTGTCTCCTAGGAGCAACATAGCGTGCGAGAATGCTAAGAGGGTATGCAAGGTCAGGTCGTGTGCAGGTCATCAGGAACATGAGGCAGCCAACAAGCTCTGGGTACGGGCCACTCGGCTCTACGGACTCATCCGAAGGCAGAGCTGAGAGCGAGTGGCGAGTAGGCAGAGGAGTGGCCTGAGGCGAGGAGTACGTGAAGTCGAAGCGCTGAAGGACCTGCTGCATCATGTGTGACTGAGTCAGGGTAATGGTGCGCTGTGCTCTGTCCCGGGTGATCTGCAAGCCAAGGTAGCTGCGCAGTTCACCTAGGTCTGTGCACGTGTGTCTCTTCTGCAGCTCGACTTCACGTAGGCGAGTCCAACAGTGTCAGCAGTGGCAAAGACCAAGTCATCTACGTACACGAGGATGTAGAACGGCGGCAAAGAGGTGTCGGTGCGTAGAAACAGCGACGGGTCGGCAGTAGAAGGAGTAAACCCAAGAGCCGCAAGTGTAGTCCTCCGTGTGTCGTGCCACTCACGGGGCGCCTGGCGGAGACCGTAGACTGGCCGCCGGAGGCTCCACTGGGTGCCAGGAGGAAAGGACCCAGTGAAGCCAGGTGGGCGGCGCAGCCAGATCTCCTCGTGCAGGCTGTCCTGCAAGAAAGCTGTGCTGAAGTCAAGAGAGTGAAGCTCGTAGTCGAGCTGAGCGGCTATATGCAACAGCACCCGAAGAGTGGTCATCTTCGGGGTGGGAGAGAAGGTCTGAAAGTAGTCAACTCCGTGCCGCTGAGTGAAGCCTCGAGCCACGTAACGCGCCTTGAAGACAGGCGGAGAACCCGGCGGCCGCTTCACCCTGAAAATCCACATGCCACTGACGATGTTCGCCCCAGGTGGGGGAACCTCGACGACGTAGGTGCCTCTGGCCTTCCAGGAAGCCATCTCTTCGTCCATGGCTGACTGCCACTGAGAGGAGTAGGGACCCTTGATTGCCTCAGCGTACGATCGAGGAGTCGGGATGTCTGGTGCATCCGGGTCTCCCTCAGGGGCAATCAGCATGGACACGAGATGAGGCAAAGCAGCAGCAAAACACTGGAACTCCTCCTACCTGTCCTCAAGGACGTCCGTGCCAAGAGCACACTCACCCCCGACGGACGGAGGACAGACAGATTCAGACTCAGCAACGAGACTAGTGGCGTAGTCGAGACAACAACGAGTAGCAACTAGGGCAGACGCAGCAGTGGACTCAAAGGAAGGGTCAGTGACAACAGTAGCCAGAAGACGCGTGACAGTAGGAGTGGCAGCACTAAGAGAGTCAGACGACGAGTCAGCAAGAGCAGGAAGAGAGGACTCTGGAGGAGACGGCAACGGGACACGCAGTGGAGCAGTGGAAGGACGCAGTGCCATCTGGTGTGTGCCCGGGACCGCAGGAGGACGCGGACGCGGAACACGACGACTAGTACGAGCAGTAAGAACAGGCGACGCAGGACGAGACGTAGGCTCACGATGCTCAGCAAGACCTCCAGTAGGACCAGTGTAGGGAGAAGGAGCTGGCAGTGGGGAGGCGAGCTGTAACTGTGACTCGGACTGGACAGGTGGCGGACACTATAAAGAAGGAGCAGGACCAGCAGAAGGCGGGAGACGAAGAACCTGCTCAAGGAGCGGAACGAAGTACAGCCGCAGCCGCGCAGCGCCTCCAGAACTAGCAGGTACAGCACTAGCACCCACAGCTGCAGCACCAGCACCAGTAGCGCCCCCAGCCGCAGCACCGCCAACTCTAGCACCCTCATAAGCACCAATGCCAGCAGCACCTCCAGCGCCGACACCCCCAGCAGCTCGAGCTCTAGGCGGACCACCGGAAGACTCAACAGCCCCAGCTCCAGCACCTCAAGCAGCACCTGCTCGAGAAGCACCGTCACGACTAGCACCACCAGCAGCTCCAGCACAAGGAGCACCCCCAGGCCCAGCAGCTCCAGTACCTCCAGTACGAGAACCGCCGGGACCCATGGCACCAACACCCTCAGCAGCAGCACCTCCAGCTCCAGCAGCACGGCTCCAGCGCCGGCAAACCACTCACGCAGCTCATGTGGAGAGGGTAGCTCCCGCCGAGACGAAGCACCCGAAGGACCCCCAGACCCAGCACCGCCAGAGGCCACACGAGCAGACCCAGCACCCCCAGGCTCCGCACCCCCAGGCTCCGCACCCCCAGGCTCCGCACCCCCAGGCTCCGCACCCTCAAGCTCAGCACCCCCAGACGGAGCACCCCCAGGCTCAGCACCCCAAGACTCAGCACCCCTAGACTCAGCACCCCCAGACCCCGCACCCGCAGGCTCAGCACCCCTAGCAGCACCAGAGTCAACAGCTACCTCGACAGCCTCGACTGCGTCTACCTGGGACACACCTGACGGGGCAGGACCCTGAGGGGGGAGAGGGTCTACCGGGGGGGGACCTGGCGCGAGGAAGAGCGGCGGCGGGGGGAGGGGCGTAGTGCGGTAGGGGAAGAGACGGTAGTAAGGAACCGACTCGTCAAAGGTGACGTCCTGGGAGGACAGAAGACGGCGCGAGGTGGGGTGGTAAAACTGCCAACCAGGCACGTCAGGGGGGAAGCCAAGGAAGACGCAGGGAACAGCACGGGGGGACAGCTTGTCCGCAGACAAGTCGCGGACAAACGCCCGAGATCCCTAGACACGAAACGCAGACGCATCGCCAACCTTCCCCGTCCACCGCAAGGTGGGGGAGGTCTCCGGCAAGGAGACCCGGGGCTGAAGGTCGATTTGATGCGCCGCGTACCGAACCGCAAACGGCCACAAAAAATGGGGAGCAGCCGCATGGATCATGGACGTACGAGCGACGTCCATGACCATGCCAATGCGGCGCTCAGCAATCCCATTTTGTTGTGGAGAGGCCGGATGCGTGAACGTCTGGCGGATGCCCTGTGCATGAGAGAAGGCTCCCAGAAGGCCAGAGGAAAACTCTCCGCCTCTGTCAGAGTGCAGACGCAGAACAGGGAAGTCCGAGCCGAAACTCTCTCTGAGCTGGAGACGAGCTGCGCGGATCCAGTCGATCAACACCTTAGTGACGTCACCCTTACTGCGCAAGGGGAACACCGTGGTGTAACGCGAGTAGTCGTCAACCACCAACAGGAAGTAACGCTCGTGACCCTGGCCACGGATGCGGGTGGGGCCCCACACGTCCATGTGAAGAGTCTGCAGTGGAGCCTCTGTCGGAGGACACTCAAAGGAGTGAGGAGCGGCGCGCTGCCGCCCCTCGACGCAGGGAACGCACGTAGGGGCAGGTCCCGGAGGAAGGGGAGGGAGGGACAGGGGGAGACCAGAGACAAGGTATCGGGAGGCCATGCCTCGGAGACGAGGCAGGGAGGGGTGACCAAGGCGGTGGTGCCAGAGGAGAGTCTAGCGGGACAGCAGACGACACGAGCAGGGAGCAGACTCAGGACCAGACCTGGACGCTGCAGCAAACACCTGACCCGACGCAGCTACCTGACCAGATTCAGCAACCAAAGGAGACGCAGTAGTCAGTGTGTACAGGCTCGACCCCGGCTGACGGGTAAACGTGGCCAAGTGTCGGCCCGTCCGAGCACACGTATAGTGGGTCACTCGCTGACTCGCAGGAGTGAACTGGTCAACCCCCCCATCCTGTAGATCAGCACCACTCACCAAGTTCGTAGAGAACGAGGGGAGGTAGAGACCTGACAGGGTGCCAGAGGGGGCCGCCGGACACGGTAAGACAGTGGAGAAGTGGGCAAGGACAGGACCCCCAGAGGGGTCCGCCAGGGAGACCGCAACCGGCCGACTAAGCGGTGTAAGCGTGGTGCGGTCTCGAAAGAAGGAGTGGGAAGCACCCGAGTCAAGGGTGAAGGTGTGGAAGGCCTGAGCCGACGTGGTACCTGAGAGAGCAGACTCACCAGCACCTGGGATAGCAGACGCACTAGCAACTAGAGCAGCAGCGTCACCAGCACCTAGAGCAGCAGCCTCAATGCCCGGGTCAGGTGGAACACACAGGTAACAGTCACCCTCATCACTAGTAGACACAACATACATGGCAGCAAGAATAGCATCATAATCTAGATCAAAGATAGCAACCCCCGACCTAAGCAGCTCGCCCCAGCGGGGGATCTCAGTGGCGTCAGGGAACTGGAGACGCCAAGCGTCCGTCAGGCGGCCGAAGCAGCGCTGGGTGGTGTGCGGGCCACCGCACGGCTCTCCAGTGCGGTCGCCGGTATGCAGGACGTAGGCACAAGGACCAGCACCCCCACCCCGCTGACGCACAGTGTACCACTCACGAAGCTGCTGGGGGGGCGGGGTCTCACGAGTGCGCTGCTGCTGCTGGCGCTGACCGCCACCGAAGCCGCCCCGCTGCGCAGAGCCACCCCGACCAGCTCCACCTCCGCCGCCGCCACCTCCGCCACCGCCGCCACCGCCTTCTCCTCCGCTCCCACCGCCACCTCCGCCGCTGCCTGCGCCTCCACCGCTGCCACCGAAGCCCCCACCCCCGCCACTACTCCCACCGCCACCCCCACTCCCGCCGCTGCCTCCACCGCCACCTCCACCGCCCCTGCCAGCCCCTCCAACGCCCTTGCCCCCCTTGCCCTTGCCGGTGCGGCGTCTCCCGCTAGGGGCAGACGCAGCGCCAACCGACTCGGTGCCAACGAAGTCGACGGCAGCAGCAGAGGCAACAAAGGGCAAAAGGGGGGAGGGGGAGCACCCCTCAAAGAAGGGGGCACGAGGGTCACCACGAGAGGCTCCTACAGCTACTATACTCTTCTCAGCTGCCAGGAGGCGCTCCTCGAGGAGGTCAACGGTGAGTGTGGTGGGGCAAACAGAGAGGAAGTGGTCCCTGACCGAGCGAAGGGAGTCAATGAGCCGGGTGACTATGTAGTAGAGGGTGATGTACATGGGGGGGGGGTTCTTGGCGCAGAACTCAGCAGGAAGCGCAGCGCGGTAGCGGGTGTCACTTGTGCGAAGGTGCGTAATGAGGTCAGCGACTGTGGGGAAGGCGGCGAGGTCAGGGAACAGGTACGGCATCATGAGGCGGCTAAGGGCAGCAGTGGCAGGGGAAGAGTAGTGTGCGACTACAGCCTCGTACAAGGTCTTTGCACTCTTGTACTGACTAAAGTGCGCGCGCTCAGTGGACGGCAAGTGACTATGCACAGCAAGACGGGCAGCAGCATCGCGTGTGGCCCACTGTGAGCGAACAGTGCTGTCAGCATTGGCAGCAGGGGCAGTAGAGGCGCCAGACGTGAGATCGAACAGTGAGAGACCGTCTGCCCTATCGCACTGTAGGAAAAGCTGCAGATCATCGACCCAGACCTCAAAGTCAACAGCCCGACCCTCAGCATCAAAGACGAGAACGCTAGGGGTAGCCATGACAGCAGTAGCAGCAGGCTAGGGGCAGTAGCAGCAGGCTAGATGCAGCGCAGTCGCAGGGGCGCGGCTCGGCGGTGCTCTTACCAGGGCGGGAGGGTAGAGTGCCGCAAGAGGAGGGGCAGGGCCGAGGCGTGCCTGCAGGGACAGGGCCGCGACAGCTGCAGCGGCTCCTGTTGTTGTTGGCGGCGGCTGCTGTGGCCCCGGTAGCCGCGGCGGCGGCCGTTACGGCAGCGGTGGCGGCTGCTGCTCGAGGCGGTGGTGGCGGCGGCCACCGCGGCTCCTGCAGCGACGGCGGCGGCTGTCACGGCAGCGGCGGCGGCGGCTGCTGCTGTCAGCGGCGGCGGCGGCTGCTGTTGTCGTCGGCGGCGGCGGCTGCTGCTGTCACTGCACCGGTGGCGGCGGCTCCTGCTGTCAGCAGCGGCGGCGGCGGCGGCCTCGACAGTGGTGGCGGCGGTTGTGACGGCGCGACGGCCGCTGCTGCTGGGGCGACGACGGCTGGGCGGCAGGGCCGTGAAGAAGCCGAGAAGGGGCCGCGGAGGAGCGGAGAAGGGGCCGCTAAGGGCGGCGAAGGGGCCACGACGGGCCGTGAAGGGGCCGCGAAGGACGGCGGCGGGGCCGAGAAGGGGCCGCGCAGGGGCCACGAAGGGCGGCGACGAGGCCGCGAGGGGCCGCAAAGGGGCCGCGAGGGGCCGCAAGGGGCCGCGAAGGGCCGTGAGAGGGGCCGCGAAGGGCGGCGAAGGGGCCGCAAGGGAGCCGCGAAGGGGCCGCGAAGGGCCGTGGGAGGGGGCCGCGAGGGGCCGTAAGAGGGCGCGACGGGCCGCTAAGGGCAGGGGACGCGACGGGAGGGTAGGCACACGCGGCGCGACTCGGGTAGGAGCGAAGCGCGCTCCGGGCAGGATTTTTTTTTTTTTTTTTTTTTTTTTTTTTTTTCGATTTTCAGTGGTGGGCCCTAGGAAACGTTCCCACTAGGGAACCTGCTCTATACCATGTGAGAATCACGAGGAATGATTGACTAAGGAAAGAGTGTGATACAAATATGAAACCCTAGAATTGTGTACCCCTTAGTATCTAACCCGCTACAACCTACACAGGCTAGATCATATAAGTCTGACAAAGTAATCACCCAAATTAGATATAACCCTAAAAGGTAAATAAGAAATCCAAGTCTTGGAAATCTTGTAACTTGGGCGATCTTGGTCGGAATAAGGCGATCTTGGTATCGTTGGAAAACTCTGGATTTCTCGTGCATGATAAAGCATTTAGACTTGGAGAAAAAACACAGAGATGGTATAATCCAACAGCCATGCACAATGACATATGCTCATGCAAATCATGCAAGCACAAATAGCACAAGCACTCGGCAGGACGTTAGGATGACATGCACTCAGAATGACGTGCATCCAACAATCGGTGCGAGGGCGAGGCGGAACACTGGGATGTTCGTTAGCGGGATCTCGGTCAAGTGCTGCTGCCGCTGCCTCGTCCTTAGGCGATGCGAAGCTACGGCCGCTGTTGGCGTAGGCGTGTATGGTGTTGCTGCACAGATCGTCGATCCACTACTGCAAGGTGAGTCGTTCGTAGAAAAGAACATCGCGCCCGGGAACAATCTTGTTAGTGTCGATGTCGAGTATCAACCACCCTTGATATTCGTAGCTAAGTCCCAAATGCACTCCCCAACGTGCGCGGTGAGTGAACTTCCCGATGGTGGCGGACGTCGGCCGATACTGCACCACACACCCCCAGACCCTCAGCATGGAGGTGTCTCCCCTTGAACCGGTCCACTTCATGTGCGGGGAGAAATTTCCCAAATTGGTCGTGGTGGAAGGAAGGTTGTTTAGGCGTACGGCGTGGTTTATGGCGTACGACCAGTATTTCTGGGGTAAGCCAGACTGGTTCATGAGCGCGCGCACCTTCGTCATCAGTGTGCGGATGACTCTCTCAGTGACGCCTTGCTGCTGGTGAGCGTATGGGAGGAAAATCTGATGCTTGATCCCCTTTTCTGTGAGAACTCCCTCCACCTCGGCACTGCAAAACTCCTTAGCGCCGTCAGTCTGCCAGATTTTTAGCTTCTTTCCAGATTCCCGCTGTGCGTGTGCGAGCCAGATGCGGAAGACTTCTGGAGCTTTGGAGCGGGTGTCAACATTGGCAATCCAGACGTGGCGTGAGTAAGCGTCGATGAAGGTGAGTGTGTATTGTCCGCCGTTGATGCCCTCGGAGGAGAGAACAATGAAGTTGCTGTAGACCTTCTGCAGAATCTTGTAACGGTTGGTACTAGGCTCCAGTGAAGGATATGGTTGGTGTGTGAGGGCTGGAGTGGGGCAGACGGTGCAGGTGGTTGGGTGTGATGTCCTGAGAGGCTCCGTGCTATTAGGACGCAATAGTGCTCCTAGAAGGAAAACTTTGGCACAAAGGCAGTTGTTGAATGTCTGATGTGAGGGGTGACCAAGTCGCTGGTGCCAGAGGTCATCATCTGCGTGAATTCCGGGAGTGCGCAAGTAACGTGTGTGGTACTCCGCCGCTTCTGCTTCTGTTTCGTGGGGAATTAGGAGCACGGGTCCTTCTTCTTCTCTTGGTTCTGCTTTGTTGTCCTGCTCCTCTGCTTCTGGTTTGGTTGCTGTCTCCCCTTCTGCAGGTGCTGTCGTGAGGTAGAGCGCGAGGGATTTCCGATCGGGGGATGATGTTCAGTGGTGTCCTTGTGCCTTCGATGAATCGCGCGGATGGATCTGGGTGGGAGATTGGGCCAAGTGAGTCGCGGGGTGCAGTTGGCGGTTCATTCCCCTCCTCAATCTCCAACCAAGGATCGGTCCAGCGATGAGGTGAGTGAGGTGGCGAGGCAAGATTGCGGGGGTGGCCGTCCGAGCGGGATGGGAACTCGTGGAGATGGTAGGTATGCTGTCATCTCCTTTTCTGCTGCTTCCAGCTCTTCCTGAGTGAGATCTCCTTCGGTGAGGTCACGTGGTCCGGGAGAGCCCCATCCGCCAGTCCCCCATGCGCCTGTTGCGGATCCCCAAGCTCCTCCTGTGGTGCCGCTGGTGCCTTCGTTATCGGTGTCGCCGCCCCGACCACCGCGTCGCGCTGACTCCTCGTCCCATCCGGCTGCTACGCGCTCTTCATACAGCTTTTGTTTGTTCTCTGCTTTTGCTTTATCTTCTTCTTCCTTGAGCTCAGCTCATCTTTTGCGTCAGGATCCTTCCACAACTTGTCGAACTCCGTGCGGTAGACGTCGCGGGTGTATGGGCACGGGCGGTTTTCTTCGTCGAAAGTTCCAGTGTTGGCTTCAAGGACGAAGGGAGTGTATCAGCGCGCGGCGTTGGGCGCTGCACTGGCAGTTGTCCAAACTTTTGGTTTTCTCCGCCGAAGATGCGGTGAGTAACAACTGCAAGCTCAGTCTCCTTCATTCCTTTAGGCTCTGTCTCGGCAAGATCTCTCTCCACTTCTTCTGTGCGGCTTGCCGTGGGTGCGTGGCAGGTGGTGCAGAGTCCGTTAAGCCCGATTTGGTGCAGATTGATCTCTTGAGGGTGTAGGCTCCGTCGGATCCATGGCCGTCCGTCTGGATGCTTCCATTATTCCTTGTTCATGAGTGCGAAGTCCAGAGGTACGAGGTCGACAAGCTCGTCCGACGAAGCTTAGTAGCTGGGTATGTCAAAGTCCAGTACGTAGATGCCGTCCATTGAGCGGGCCCTTCCGAGATACTTGTGCGCCTCGGGGGGTGTGTACGGGGGAGCCTCAGTGAGGATGAGGTCACGCGTGTATGGGTCCGTGGCAATCATGACTCCGCAGTCTCTGAGCTGTCCTACCGAGAGGAGGTTGAAGCATAGATTCGGGACGTATAACACGTAATTGAACGAGATATGCATGTTGCTGTCTCATGCTTGCAGGACCACGATGCCTTGTGCGTTGGCGCGTAGCTGCTCGTTGTTGGCGATGGTGACGTATGTTGGAGGAGCGCGGATGACGTTGGAGATGTATTGAACAGACCCCACCATGTGCTGGTCGTAACTCTCCGCTGAGTTTGGAGCAGTGCTGATACTGCTGACGCGGCAGCTTCTTTGTGAGAAAATCGGCTGCCATGTCACCCGTTGGACAGTAGGTTAGGTCAACCTTGCCTTTTTCAACTTCGTCCTTGACGAAGAAGTAACGCAGCGCAATGTGCTTGGTGCGGTTGACAAATCCAGGTTCATTCGCGATCCTGATCAAGCTCTGGTTGTTGCAGTACAGGCGAAAATTTGTCGAGGCTGGAATTTTTGCCTCCTGCAGCAACCCTTGGAGGTAGAGTTCTTCGCAAACAGCTGCTGTTGCTGCGATGAACTCGGCTTTCGCTGATGACAGGGCAACCAGCTCCTGCTTCTGTGAATTCCAGGAGATGGGGCCGCTGGGCTCTAGGTGAATTCGCAAACCTATCCTGGACCGTCGATTGTCGGGGTCAGCGGCATGATCTGCATCTACGTAAATGATGAGGTTGAAAGATGAGGTTGGGATGGTGGAGTAGCAGAGCCCAACATTGCCCGTGGAGATGAAGAATTGGAGTGTTCGCTGAAGATTTATGAGATTTTCAGCCGTTGGTTTGCGGGAGTACTGTGCCAGCTGGCTTGTGATGTACGAGAGATCGGGCTTGCAGGTAACTGAGGCGAAGAGTAAACATCCAAGCTGTTGCTAGTAATTCTAAAGCCCAGCAGGGGACAGGGATTTGTTGTCAGGCTTTGTGGTTGGGTCCTCGAGTGCGGTAAGGGGTGGAGAGCGGTGCAGGTGTAATGTTAAAGCGCTTGCCAAGTTCTTCTGCGGTGCAGGTGTACTTTTACACGTTCTTCACGTCAATCTGTTGGAGCGGTAGGTGTCGCGCGGCGGCGATGGCGAGGAGGATTCTAACGGAGGTGTGGCGGCTGACCGGCACAAAGTTCTGGTTGAAGTCAATGCCATGCCTCTGGTCGTATCCACGCACAACCCAGCGCGCCTTGAATCGCTCGATCGTGCCGTCGGCTACGGTCTTCAAGCGAAAAACCCACTTCACAGAGAGGATTCTTCTTCCCTTGACTGCTGCTCGGTTGACGAGCACCCAGGTGTCGCGAGATTCAAGGGCCTTGATTTCCACATCCATCCCCTCGCCACTCTTTGCTGTGTGGTCCCGAAAGGGCTTGGCGCGGATTCTTCATTTCGACGACACGTGGTGCCGTTGAGGTGGCGGTATGGAGCCCGAGGAGCTGTAGTTCGGACACGGTGCTGTCGTGGCAATGCTGCGGGGTAACCTCCTATACGTCGTCGTCATCGCTTTCTGGTTCACGTGGAGCTGGCGGTGCTGCGCCTCTGCCGCTTCCGCTTCCGCCTGTTGCTTCTCTGAATGGATCGTCGTCGTCATCGTCGTCGCTGCTGCGACCGCCTCTCGTGAACTCGCCTCTAGTGTCCTGCTCCAGTATGGCTGCTGGGGCTTCGTCCTCAGGTGTGGCGTAGCTGTGCCCGTCATTGGCATAAACGCGGTTCGCGTTTGTCTGTTTGTCTTCACGAAATTGCTGGAGAGATCGGGCCTGCAGGTAACAGAGGCGAAGAGTAAACGTCCAAGCTGTTGCTAGTAAGTTTGAAGCCCAGCAGGGACAGGGCTTTGTTGTCAGGCTTGTGGTTGGGTCCTGGAGTGCGGTAAGGGGTGGAGAGCGGTGCAGGTGCAATGTTAAAGCGCTTGCCAAGTTCTTCTGCATACTTGGCTGCTGAGATATGAATAGCTTCTGGCGAGTAGGTGATGTTGAGGCCAAGAAACAGCTTCACGTCGTGGTTGCAGGTAATGTCGACGCGCCTCGCGAGGTTCTTCTCAAATTGCTCAAGCAATTCGTTGCTTGACCCTGTGTAGAGAAGGTCGTCGACGTAGACTGTGAGCAGGATGTATTCGCAGCGGAAATCGCGGCGATACATCCCTGGATCGTGAGGCAGTTGCTTGAAACCAATTTCAAGCAGGATGTTGTGCAGGTATTGCTGCCAGAACCTTGGCGCCTGCTTGATCCCGTAGAGCGATTTGCGCAGCTAGTAGACGCGCGAATCCCCTACTCCGTATGTATGTGGCTGCTCTACGTAGATCACTGCATCTAGGTGTCGCGCGGCGGCGATGGCGAGGAGGATTCTAACGGAGGTGTGGCGGCTGATCGGCGCAAAGTTCTGGTCGAAGTCAATGCCATGCCTCTGGTTGTATCCACGCACGATCCACCGCGCCTTGAATCGCTCGATCGTGTCGTCAGCTGCGGTCTTCAAGCAAAAAACCCAATTCATAGAGAGGATT